CTGGAGGGCTGGAGGGGGAGGGAAGAGGTGCCTGGAGGGGGAGGGGCTGTGGGAGAGGTGCCTGGAGGGGGAGGGAGAGGTGGAGAAGGGCACCTGGATTGACCCACCACCCCAGGTTTATTTTAAGATGAGTTGAGCTGCATTAAAACTGATAGCAACAGGGCGGGTTTTAAACATGGGATTGAAGCCGATGTTAGTTGCCCTGTGTAGGGGAGAGCAGCTGAAATGGACAATTCATGCTGCACTGTAGAAAATGGGGATTCCCTAAAATGTCCCTTAAAATAAAACATCGTCCCTTATTTTTCATGTGATACTAGAAGATTTACCCGGCATTGCTCAGGTCCTTAATTCAAATAACTTTTGTGTTTCTTCGTTTTCATAGTTCTGGGATGGGGCTTGGGATGAGGGCTTCAGTATGCAGGCTGCCTCGGAGAGAGAGGACAATCCCAGCCATTTCATACCACAAATAAACTTTCTGAAATATAGTAGATAGCTGTCCTTTTTTCCGCCCCTGCCTCCTGCTGGCCCAATGAGGCTATAGCTATCCCAGTCCTCATCTCTGGCCCTTTGGTGCTCCCTATGGTCATTCTGCAGTATAACCACTCCTACCAGCCCCCTCCCTTTCCCTTCTATGGGAAACAATTAAATCCCATGCACATCCCAGTATCCTAACAACCAAACCCTGACCTTGCTTTCAGTTATGATAAGAGGAAGCTGCATACCAAATTTAGTGGTCCTAGGAGGAGCTTTGAACAGACGGACTCACAGACAAACATAGAGATACACATTTCTCTCTCTCTCTCTCTCTCTATATATATATATAGTAAGATTTCCATCCACCAAAGGTGGTCACTCTACCTGAAGGAGGAGGAGGTTAATGTGGAAGTTAAGGAAGTTCAGGGGCTCCTGGAAGGGATGAGGCTCTGGGAAGAGTCTTTCCCACCCAGCTGTCAGCCTTTTCTGAGGCAGCTGCTTTCCACGCTTAGGGCAGCTTTCTTTACTCAGAATACATTTCTTCTCCTTGCCTGACCCAGGCCATTTCCTGGTACCTGCCAGCAGAACCTCCAGCCCTTATTTCTTAATTCACTCAGGAAACAAAACCAAACTCCACCGATAAGCCTCTTTTCCAGCACCATGTCACAATCTCACTATGACAGGCTGCAGGACTGAACTGTGCTGATGTGCGTGGGCACTGGGACTTCCTGAAGGCAGATGCCTGGGACCGGGTGCGGTTTGCTATTTTGATTGTCCAGGGGGTGAGATCAAGGTACCAGGAGTGTGGGGTCTGGGGCAAGGGGAAAGGAATGGGCTCTTGGGCCGAATCTGGTCTAAGTCCTTTTATGACACCAGCAAAGACACTATAAACTGGAACTCTCTGGTCCGGCGATATCCATGGTGTGGAAAGATCAGAGAGTCCCGACGCACTGTGAGGGGTGGGGGGCTGGGAGCCCAGCGCTATGCGGAGAGGAGGGGGTGATGCACGGCTCAGCTGGGCTGTGGGGGACGAGGGGGCAGTATGTGACTCAGCTAAGATGTAGGGTCCAGGAGCTGGTGCATTGCTCGGCTGGGCTGTGGGGGGAGGCAGGAAATCTCCCCGGGTCCGGCAAACTCCCTTGTTTTGGGCCAGTCAGGTCCCGAGGATGCTGGACCAGGGAGGTCCAACCTGTAGTAGGTAGATTAGACAATGATGATGGAGTGGCAGCTATTAGCTATGGCATCGTTAAGAATGCAGCTTTCTCATTCCCTGGAGGTAGCTCAGGGACAGTTTCGATTTCTTGTCTTTCCTTTCCAACACATCTTTTTGAATTCTCCTGTTTGTGTGACAGTGCGAATCCTTCTTGCTGAATCCTAGGCTGATCTGGAGGATGGAGGAAGCAGCATGAGTCACGCGTGTGGAGACCCAGCCAAAGGGCAGCTTGTTGATTGCTGGTATTCACAAAGAAGGTGACAGGACAAACGTTAAAGAGGAGAATTTATTGGCTCCACACCCTACAGCTCAGTATTGCAGGCAGAGCCTCACAAATATAAACAGGTCACGTGTGTGTGTCTGTGTGTACACACTCACAGCAGTGAAGTGGCAGGAGAGAGTCAGTGCATTCCTGTGAAGTACTCAGAGACAGAAGAGCTTATGTTGCCAAGACTCTACCTACACAGGAAAGGACAAAGGTGGAATCAGTCAGTCCAAAAGGCAGCATGCTTTTCACAGAGTCACCGTTCACGCTGGAGCAGAGCATTGGCCCATTGAGCCTGGTATCCCACTTCCTGCCGGACTGGGTCAGACCCTCTTGCCCTATGGCAGCATTTTAGTGTTGGTAGAAGATTGGTAATAAGCTCTATATAATGATTTGATTACAAAGGCTGTCTGCTTCTGTTTGACCCTACCAGCCACCCTAAATGATCGGACGATGTTTGCTATAAGGTTTTGCTTTCTATTAGCATTACAAATTAAGTTGTGCCTTTTATCTAACTCAGTTGTGTGAGATTATTTTTGTCATTTCTTCAGTAACTTATATATGACCCTTAGTCTATAAGGTGCCACAGGACTCCTCGTCGCTTTTGCAGATTCAGACTAACACGGCTAACCCTCTGATACCTTTCCAAAAGGTCATCCTGCCTGAAACGCTCTGCAGAATTATGGAACAGGAAATTCTCTGTCCCAGGGTTGGTGCGAGTGGGGGATGCGTGCGTAGCTAAGGCTAAGTGTGAAAGCCATCACGGGTGCCTAGATGGGCAAGAAAAGTGACAACCTCAAAGACAACCAGGAAGCACCTATGTTGTCCAATGCTAGAATTAAATTAGCAGGACTGACAAACCTTGGAGACAGGCAGAGGCAGCCCCAGATTAGATGACAAACAAGAGACAATGATGGGCCGCCTGACGATAACCATCAAAAGACGGCTGTGGAGAAGCCCAAGATTAACCCTACTTAAGGATCAAGGATTACAGCACGACACTGCGAAACCTATGGACTCAAATGGGAACATACATGTCTAAAAATGGAGTGCTTTTGCCAGGGAAGTCTGAGTGTAGCCCTGCAACATTGGAGAGCCGGATCATGACCGACAGAACCCAGCTCCTCAATCATGTTCAGTCTAATGGGCCACTCAAGCCACGACAGACTGGTAACTGTAAGAACACCTGCAGCATCTCTGTGTGCGTACGGGGGGGTGTATAGATGCAAATGCTGCTTTTCCTGTTGTGTTCTCAATAAATGCGGCGTGTGGCCTTTCCCCCTGAAAAAGAGCCCGTGTGTTTCTCATAAGCATAACATCAGCCCACGGACCCATCTTATCCAGGATCCTGCCTCCTGTCGTGCAGACCAGAACTCAGACTCCTCTGCTTCAGGCTCTGCTTCCAGCAGTGGCTTATACCCCTGAGCTCCCTCAGGCGTCAAACCCCCACAATGCACCTGGGCCAGTCATGACAGCTGTCTGCAATTTGGCACATTTTAGAACAATCACTAGGACAAGGCTGGTGTGGCAGCTGGCCCTGCCTGTCCTCGCACGGGCTCCCTTCCAGGCGAACTCGAGGGTTCTCAGGGTAATGCCTTGGTATCAGTTGTACTGCAGGCAGAGGTGGGGGCCGATGCTCGGAGCAGATCAGGGCTCGGACTGTCACCACGTGGTGGTTGGGAAGCCAACTGGAACAACTACAGCTAGTCCTTGCTTCGGGTTTTCCCTCCAAGTGACTCTCCCTCCCCTGCGGATCCCCATCCCCATCAGAAGCACAAGGCTGCATGGCTGACCGTAAACCTGACGGCTCCCGGGTTCCAGCCCTGCTCCCGTCCCACTAGCCCACGCTGCCTCTGCAGACGTTCAGACGACTTGGGCAAATGAACCAAAGAGCTGACAAAACGAACTGGCTGCGGGGTGCTCACAGGGCCCCCTGCGTCGCCTGTCTCATGAGCGCCACGCCAGCCAGTCCTGAACACAGACAAGGAAAGGGGGCGGTTACCTGCCATTGGCTCTTCCTAGTCATCTACCCCGGTCTCCAGGGCCACCAGCTCTCGTTCTTCCTGGTCCCCCAGGTTGTGATTCCTCATGGGCAACTCGAAGGCCGGCGCAGTCTTCTCTATGTGGATCCCTCTGCTGCGGAAATAACTCTGCAGGGCACTTAGGAACTGTGGGTGGGGAGGGGAAACCAGGCCTGAGTCCTGCTAACTTAGTGTTTCTTAAACTGTGTTACGTGGCACACCAGTGTGCAGTGGAGAACGAAACTGTGTTACGTGGCACACCAGTGTGTAGTGGAGAACAGAAATCAAAATGGCCACCCTTAAAGAGGCAGGCGACTTTTTTTTTTCAATAACTTTCCTCCCGACCCATTTTCCCCCTCCTGACTTTTTTTTTTTTTTTTGCTCAACAAAAAAATCCTTGGTGTTCCTCATAAAAAAAAGTATTGTTTGGTGTTCCTCAGTCTTAAAAAGTTTAAGAAACACTGTGCTAACTGCTAGTGCCTGCTCCACAGAGCCTGTCTGGAGCTGCTCTCAGTCCTGGGGCTGGACTCCGAGCTCACCGGCGGAGGCAGGGGGGGGGAAAGGGAGGCGGCCCCGCCCGGGGG